ATTGTTGTGTAATATTTTACTCGTTAATTTTTTCATTATAAGCGAGTTAAACATAATTTAAGTTTTTATGATACTCCAAGCTTACATTTTTAGGTGCAGTTAGTACAATTTGTTTCATCACAGTGCTACAAATGAAAGCCCTCACCTCGCCTTCCGTCACCCTTCCCCGCTAAAGCTCCTAAACTGAAATGTATCAGTACGTAAAGTCTTTGATATATCTCGTCGCTACTTCTGTTTTGATAAAATAAAAAACAAAATTATCATGCCTCAGTCGCCACAAAAAAAGGGGGAATAAGGATTCATTTTTTCGGTTACTCTCTATTTTCAAGAGCTACCACTAATTTGGGTACAGCTTTATTCACTCTTTTTTGTTCTTAATCTCAGTTTTAATAAAAAAAACTCTGATACTATGATCATTAAGATGGTGACTAGATAGGATCAAGCTAATCAGAGTGCCTGCATATTTTATGCATTTAGATATAGGTAAGTATGTTTGAAATGCTGTGATTGACTAAAGTTTATCGCATGCATTTCCAGTCGCTATCTCAATACTCGTGAGTTTTTATTATATTTCGCTCTAGTATATAGTTAGAGAAGTGCGTATGAGCCAAAAAACTGACACCAACTCAGCAAACATTTTGTCTTAAGAATTTTTATAGATATCTAATATTCACTTACAATACTTGGGACTCGTACCTTTAAAGACGTCTTTTATGTAAACATTGGATGTCTACAAGACATCTATAAAAAATATTCAGACAAAATGTTTGCTATCGGAAAGACCAAAACTGAAAAAGGTTACCCATTCAAAAATGAGATTTTTCCGCCCTCGGGTGATTTTGGGAGGCTGTTACTTCCTCGGGCGAAAAAGCAGTTTTCCGGAACTCGTTCGAAAAGTCTCCTTTACGAACCTCGTTACGTCCCTCGCCTTCGGCTCGGGCCGCAAACCTCTCGGTTCGCAAACAGAGACTTTTCAAACTCGTAGGAAAACTACTATTTGTTTAAGCTTTCAACTCAGCAAAAGCCCAACTCACAATCTTCACCTGCCAGTGTAGTGCTGCAAAACCCATAAGTATAGGTATACACTTTATACTACAATCGAACACATAAGATTTGTTAGTTAAAGTATACTTCATGATAAAATTAACGTTGTTATGAAAGCGTTGAAAATGGAGGTATTAGTTATTGACACACCCATGCGTTCATTAATTTTTGGCACGCCGTTTTAAAAATATTTAACTTTTAATTTACATGTTTTAACACTACATCTTCTGAGCAAGTAGATCAAAAAAATCTGTATTTATTAATAACTTGAAAAATTATCTTATGCTCTTTTTAAAAAACGACTATAATACGAGAAATATAATTGCTGTTTATAGGTTAAAAGATTATCAACATGCTGTGTGCCGTTTCAAAAATATCTCAATTTTTAAGTAATTTGCTTTGTTTTTAGTATATCTACGTTGTAATAAAATTTTTCTTAACTTTTAGCACATCCCGAAAATTATCAATTTTTATATGGCAGTTTTGTGATATGAAAGTTTATTACGTTACTGAATTATTATCTGACAGTTAACAACAGTTATTAATTGAAAAATTAATAATTAATTGCTACACAAGTAGGTTGAGAAACAGTGAGCGGCAGGAACTCCCTTAAATAGGGGTACCAACCTACGACCTGACAAAAATTTATGAAAATTTTTTTAGTTTAATAAGAGCTTTGCACGACTACATATATAAAAAAATTTTGCCTCTAAAGTAAATAAGTAGGAATACTGCGTTCAATTGGAATCGTTATGAAATTAGATTGTGCATTGTATAAGTTACTCGAATTCAGGGCTAAACGTAAGTTGCGAGTTCGTGTGATTCAGACTCGGATTTAGAAAATTTCGTGAGCTAGAGAATAATCGGGTGAGTATACCCAAGTAATACCTGTATCTAGAGAGATCGGAATCAGAGAAAGAGGTTGAGAAATATGAAAGTACGATAAAGTAATATTGCAACCAAGTACTTAATTAATGAAGATAAAAATACAAAGTTTATTTAAGAGATCTGTTCAAACGACAAGGACTTGCAGGACAGATGGAAAAAGGACGACCCGCTGAGTTTTCACTAGCAAGAAATAAAAGGGAGGGGATAGAGAGCAAGCACGTTCTGTACATAGATGAATAGTAAAAAAAACTTATAGGTATTAGGCACCACCTACCTATATTACATATGAGGGAATCCGTAAAAAATATTCCGTTTGTGTCCCCCATTTTGAAAAAAAAAAATTTTTGAGGCACACCCTTGAGATCGAACTCATTTTACCCGTAATACCATGTACTATGAGGAAAAAATTTTCAACACAGGTTTTATAGATACAATCATAGCATGTGAATCTCGGAAAAAGGGTGTCACGTACACTGAAGCCCGTGTTGAAAATTTTTTCCTCATAGTACATGGTATTACTGGTAAAATGAGTTCGATCTCAAGGGTGTGCCTCAAAAAAATTTTTATTATAATGGGGTGCCAAAAACGTGATATTTTTGTGGATTTTCTCACATATAGGTGAGGACATAAATATAAGAGAAAATAAAAAAAACGGTACAGGAGGTACTGGTTATGGCAACGCACGAGAGAAAGAGAGATGGGTGTCCATGGTGCGGGAGACGGGAGGGCCAACGGAAGGGAGTTTAAAGGAAGACGGAGCTAGGCTAGGTACCTATAGTAAAGTGAGAGCCGTATAACTCGCACACGTATACATATATACAATTCGTGTTTCGCGTAGCGTTTATATTCGCGCGCTCACCAATACATATACGTGTTGAACGCATTGTACATTGTAACGTCCCAGTGCTCGTCGTGCCCGAGCGTGCGGACGTCTCTCATGCCTTGGTATCATCTCATCGTCGGGTCGTCGTTGTCTTCACCTTCGCCGTCACTTGGGCGTACAATTAAGTAGTTAACGTAGGAAAAAATGCCGCTGTACGTCAATCCGCAGAACGTAAACACAGCCGCAAAAAATAACTAACGTTAAGATTGCCCTGTGCACTAGGAAGCGCCGCTTCCTGGAGAAGAGTTTCCAGAACGCGCAGCGACGCCGTTAGTTTTGGAGTGAACTGGCAATCACCTACTTAACGTTTGCATTTTTTTGGGGGAAAAGCACGGAACGTAGTGCAAGTCCCCAAGGGGGCGAGACTGGTGCTGACGGCAAGGCGAAGCTGCCGTCGTTGCTGGCGTGGCTCGTAGGAGACGGACGATATAACCTCAAAATCGCCATGGAATAGCCTCAGCTGCCCGCCGTCCGGTCTTCCTCTCTCGCTCTGTCCATCTCCGTCTCTATATCTCTCTCTCTCGTGCTGTGCCGTGCCGTGCGTTTGCAGCAGCGTTTCGGTTGTACCTCAAGTGTGATCGCTAAATTCCCAATCATAGACGCGCGCTAGCTGTTGCAGGCGAGGTGTGGTTGTGAGTTGTGTGAGAGTTGTCGACGGGGACGATAGTACTCTAGGATGCCGCGGTATTCTCCATATGGATGCGACGAAGGCGAGCCGCTGAGCCCAGATAAACGACCCCGGAGCTCCGAATAAACGAAAGTGTGTCGTCGTCGCGCGCGTGTGTATATGTGTATGTGTGTCGTCAAAGTTATATAGAAAAACATGCGCCCCTGCGGCTCGACGAGAAGGCCGCTGTTAGCTAAGGATATTCCGATGCTAAAGGGCACATGTTGGTTACGCATTGCTGCTGCTTCTGGTACTGACGACCCACGTTTTATGGACTGAGTAATTAATTTTATTGTCACCTGCAAATGAAGGACCAAAAACGCTTTCCCTGCAATAGTTCTTGTTTTTAATAAACATCATTTGGTAACAGAACTTGAGTTTAAGTAAAGTGGCCGCGCTCCGACTCCGACAAGTGTGCTACAGTCAATTATTTTTTCTATGATTACATTCTATTGTGTTACATATATAATCAGTGGTGTAAATATCCCGTGCAAGGGTTGATAGATCAAGTTATCATCTCGCGCAACTCGTTCGTAGGGTGCGTGTAGTGTATGTCTAAGTCTAACAGATATATAAGTAGTAGATAGAATAAAGTAGAGGAGATAGGTACATAGGTAAGACGAAGTAACAGTTCAAGGGGAGCAACAAGGATAGTTGTAGTGAGGAGGCAACCGACGTCTAAGCTCAAGAAAGAGTGAATCTACGTCTCTCTACCTTCGTCGCTGTTGCAGCCCCGCTTTCCCGATGTACGTTACGGATGACGGTACGCATCATTCAATCAACTTCTGAGCATTAGTATTTTTGCGGTAAAAATTCGGAAGAGCTTTGGCGAGTCCCGCTGTTTTTATTTGGCTTGGCTAACTTATCACCCAAGGCAGCTAACAATTTTCAGATGCTCTGTCTGTGGGAAGATAAAAGTCTTGGTTATTTTTTTGTTGTCAATGTAACTATGATTATTTATTGACATTTAACACATTGAAATGAGCATAAATGTGTTTATACAAAGAAATTATTTGGGTATATCAATGAATAGAAAGTTTGCTGCCCATCTTTTTGAATTAAAACTATGTTGATGGTTTATTGCAGTTAAACTTCAGACCTCTTGTCACTAAAAGCACAGTTTCATTTTATAAAATGATTTGTTTCTTCAATAATTTCTCAAATTCATTATTACAATAATTTACATTCGTTCTGCTGTATCCTACATTAAACACTTCCCTATCAGATAGGTACAGTCTCTGACACAGGGTTTATAACTTTATGTACTACCCAATTACTCTAAATTTTTATTTTTCTTTGTAAATAAAAAATTAATTGATAAATACCTAGATTTATCAATGTTTATCTATTAAACAGTTACAATATAAGTACCTGAAAAATATTTTTCAATTTGTATTCCATAATTGTCATTATCACATCAAATACAAGTAAAACGTTATAAAACAAAATAGCTACTATGGTAGTTAAGCATTGTATTGAATTGGAATATCCAGCTGATCATGAATATGTCTTTTTCAGGATCAAATAAAGTATCAGTTAAAGAAGAACGTCCAGATGAAGCGGAAATCAGAGAATTGGCTGCCAAAATGGTGGAAGCGAACAAAGCGAAAAACACAGCTACTCCTCCAGCAGCTGGTGTACAACAACGACCACCAGGCTTCAGTCAGTCTTTAGGACTTCTTGGCTATCTGACTCCAAAGCGACCTGTGGCGCAAGAAGTCAATGTTGCGATAACCGCGCTAGACGGAAAAGTGCCGCTAGATGACGAGAGCCAAAGAGGTAGATTTGGATGGACAAGTCTTGGAGATGTTCACATACCGTACATATTCAGAGTCGCTGATAAGTACTGTGCAGTGAGAATACTGGAGAACAAGCTACTCAATAAGTATCTCAATTGCATGCACCCCGACGTCTACAGTTGCACGTGCATCAGGAGCTATTTCATAACCGAAGCTGAATGCAAGCTGCTGAATGACATAAACGTAAAGCACTGTGATTTACAGTTTGGTCGTGATTTATTCACAACCAAGGACCTCGTGGTTCGATTGCTAGATGCAAAGGAGTTTTACATTTTTCTGGATGTTTGTTATACGAAACTTACTTCTGGATCCGATCAAAATGTGATAAACTCTCTTAAATCGGATAAATGTGGCTTCATACGCATCAATAAAGAGTCTGTAGTCCCATACACCGTCAAAGGTGGCCTCAAGTACGTCCCTCTGTTCTACTTTGAAGGAGAAACCGAGAACTTGAAGCTCAAGGCGGAAAAGCTCGAGGGCTGGGATCTTTCATACTTAAAGTTTTGTTGTAAAGTGCAGGGTATTAGAAACGAACTGTTTGCCAGTGAAACGTGTTCAGTGATTAGTTTAAACGATATTAAAAGTTACTTTCCCCCGGGAACGGGCTTCGAGGATTATTGGCCCAATAAGGTGTCAGATACACAGTTGTTGATAAGTTGCAAGAACAGTGGTCATGGTGGGAGCAGTTGGGTCAAGCAGCCCCCAACTCCTCCAGTTGTGAAGCAGACGACGCAGAACAACCTTTTAAAAAGTTCTATAAATGCGAGGGGTGCTTCGTTGCAGGGTATGCTTCCGCGTAACTCGTTATCAACTCAGGCAACTCTGCAAAAAATTAATCAAAGGCCTGTGGTCACCACTCATCCAGTGCACTCTTCTCCTACCTCGGTGTCCTCTATGAGGAGTAATCAAGTATCGCAAGCAATGATGAATGTTGCTCAAGCTGCTAGTGTTAATGGTTGGTCTGGCCTAGTTGGAGGACAGCCTGCTTTTCCATCTCCTCTCGTGTCACAGGCAAATTCAATTATCAGAATGACCCCTGGCATGAATATGCATAATGTGAGTATGAAATGGATTATTTTATTGAACAAGTAAATAATTATTGTTTTATTTCATAAATATCTTGCTAGACTTGATAATATGTTCAATAAATTTATCAAAGAAATTTATAATAGTGTGTTGATAAAATCTGAAAATTTTCAAGAATAGGTTTTTAATTGCATAATCACAAAATACGATAGAAAAAACTTTGAGCTGAATCATCTATCTCTTATCAATAATCATTTGCAGCAGCCAACGAGAAGTCGAGGTGCCACTGGAACTTCACAGCCCTATCCAGTTTATCCCAACACAACAATGCCCACTGCTGTACCACCTTTGATTAGATCATCTGTGCATTCCAGTCAACCCAATCTTGGGTGAGTAGTAACTACTTTTTTTATTAAATATTAATACTTATTATTACGCTGATAGAATCTGTAATTGGCTTTTTATGCAGCTTAATGCATTAGTTAAAAAATGTTTTTATGCTCATGTTCAAGGTAGTAAGTAATTATGGTAGGGAAAATAATTTCACTCATGACTTCCAATCAGAAACTGCAAGAGTACATAGTTCAATACATAATACAATACAAGTATCAGTTCATTATCTATCAAATACAACGTAAAATGTTAAAAAAACTTAATTCTCGTAGCTTCAGAACTACTCAAATGATTTAAACATAATAAAGTTGCCTTACATGTATTCCCTGTTCACTAGAAATTTATTTGTCATCTTGATCAGACTTGTATTGTACTATTTAGTAACTGTCCATTTAATTACTATTTTTTTTACCTTGTATATACTATACCGTCTTTTTTCTAATATAGTTATCCAACCTATGGGAAGGATGACTGGTGAGTCCCCACAAAGAGTAAAATAGTCAAATAAAAAAAAGCGAGAAAAAAAGAGCATGAAACGCAGTGTTACAAAACAATTATTTTGTAGTTTAATTTTTTTTAAAGGATGTTTTTTTTTTAATTTCTTTTTGTAACAGTAGTTTTCGTCACCAAGTCGCAAAGTACGACTTCAGTACCTGAGGAGCGTGATGGTCGCATGTTCGTGCTTGAGTAGCGAATGTCTTTTTTTCTATTTTAAGTCTCTCTTTTTTTTTTTTTTTTNTTTTTTTTATTATAACGTTTTCTACGTTCTCGGTAAAAAAAGAAGGATTCGCTACTGGTACGCATCTGCCCATGCAGAGTTATTCCAAAAGTCTCGCATTGATATTGATGCATACCATTGACGAAACCTACTATCTCTCAGTAAGCTTACAAAGTGCTATTTACTTTGCTAATAACGTTGCATCCTAAACTTTTCTTATCATGGGCACGAAACAGCATTTTGCACCCTTGGTACAAAGAATTACTTTCGTCATTTGGGTACTACCGTACGACCACCATTCTTTACAGGAATGATGTTGGTAATTTATTTGTATTCGACAACTAGCAGCCACAGTAAATTTTAAAGTAATCACAAGCTTTTTAATTAATGTAACTTACTTACTCGAAATTTTGCATGATTAAACTATGAAAAAAACATGGATAACTTTAATTAGATAGAAGACACATGATAACAGTCTTGACATAGACGCATAAATGTTTATACTTCTTTACTTTGGTAAAATTACAGTCTTACTATGTATCTCGTATATAAATGTACATTCAGTAAATACTAATGCGTTTACTTTGATAGTTCATAGCTTTAAACCGGGGAAAAAAAAGAAAATGCACATTAAAAATTAAATTTCGTGAACCGCGTAAGATTTTTTATTTTTCATCTTTCAGGGTGTCCACTACTTACACAACCCCAAGTTTAGGCGTGCCGAACCCCGTAACAGCAAGTGCTTACCCTCAGGTACTTGGTCTGAGTCCAGAACAGATGCAAGCGTTAATACCGCAGTCAACGTCCAACGCGTCGATAATGTCACATCAGCAGAGACACACGCCACCCGTTTTAAACACAAGCCACACTGGTCATACCACTCACACAAGTCACAATACTACTCACACGAGTCATACGTCTCACTCAAAGTACCCGCCGCCTCTTTTACCAGTAAACGGCAATAGCAGTAACAACAGGTACGTTGAACCAACTTGAACCATCACACAACCAACTAATGCACCCAATTCAATAGGTATCTAAGAAACTAATTTTCTGGGTTGTGTTATCAGGGATTCCAGAGGTAGGAAGCCCCTGATACCAATATCAGAAGTCACTGTTAGTTGTCAAGTTCAGCCGTACCAATTGCAAAAAGCATTGGTAGAAGACAAAATGGTACTGTGCATCAACTTCAAGTCGTACATATACTCGGAACTCCTTATGACGTTGCCTGACTTCGTAGCTCAGTATTTTCCTTCATGTGACGTTGAAAGTTGCAGGCAAATACTGACTGATGTTTTAATGGTGGATCTTTATCAAGGCAATAGGTAAATAGACGAATGATTTTCAGTTAGAGCCAATATGCTTTCAAAGGTTGCAATTCATTAAAATTAATTGTTGCAGCTTGCAGATGAAAATCTTAATGGAAAATGGCAAGTGCTCATCACTAAACGAGGAGTTGCCACTCATCCATGTGCGCGACATTATGAAGTACATGCCTCAGATAAAGTACATGCTTAACAATCAACGAAACATGGGTATGCCGCAGCCAGCACACTCATCATCGTTGTCGTCTGAGGAGCAAGCTAAAAAACGGCAGCGTACTAGCTAGGATTGGCTACAGCCTTACTGGCCAACCTATGACTACTATCATTCTGCCTTTTGAAGCACTTGGAGGCCTGTGAAATGGTGGACAAAGAAAATCTTCTATGTAAAATAGGAGGAAAAGAGATTTGTGACGATGGAGTGTAAAAAGGTACTGAAGAAATGCACGTGTGTGTTTTCAGTTTTTTTAAGTTTGTTACAACGACTGGTAAGTCCTCTACGTGACTTCGGAGGTATGAAAGTGCCGGTACATGAAACATTTTGCGGACGTTTGACGTTCATTTCCATTTATTTGTAAACGATGCGCTGCTGTGTAGTGTATGACAAAGTTTTTCAAAGGACAAAGCATTAAAGGACAGTAGAATTTGTGCAAGAAATGTTCCAAGAAAAATGTGCAGAGTGCAGTTTTCTCGTGTATTGCTGAAGATCCACTCTGATGACGATGTATATAAAGATCACGAATAAATATAGAGGTTAAGCAATAACCTTTCTGAATTGTGTTGGTTCAGTTCAAATTCCGATGTTTGACACCTTTTTTTTTTTTTTTTTTTCTGAGCTATATTCACAAATGTATAGTTTGTACATTTTTCATTTTTTGTTTCAACTAATTATACATACTTCAAATGAAGTGAAATTTTGTACAAATTAAAAAAAAAAAAAACAAACATATTTGTTGTGTTCTCAAGTCATAAACATGTATGTAATGGTTATAAAAAAAAAAAGAAAAAATTTTTCAAAATATTTTTATTTACTTCATATCATTAAACATTTTTAACAACGTATTTTGAATTGAACAAATCCTCAAGTAAAGTAAAAGCTAAGGCCTCTACAAGTTCCTAGTTATTACATATGTAATCTGATAAACATGCTGTAAGCATGCAAGTATGTCTGGTTAGGCAATGCATTATTTAAACAAGTAGGTTAACAAAACGGTTTCTTCTTATAAGTGAAAAAACAATTAAAAAAGAATACGAATACTGCACAGTATTTACTCGTCACGTTATATTGTAAGTGTAAATATATCCAAGTAATTGCATATTTGGCTAAATTTGCTTTGGATTTTTAATTTAAAATCACATGTTATTTTTTTACAATTTGTTAACATTTTATTTTCATCAATTAACTATTGGTTCCTTGAGAGCCTACTGAAGTAAATGATTAACAGCTAACATTTAGTTTACAGTTGTAAAAAGTGTTTATTAATTTTAGTCTTCCATAAGGGTCAAAAAATATTTTAAGCATGTATAGTTGTCCACCTGAAAAATAGAGCTTCATTTGAAGAAACCGTTATTTAAGCTTCCCAAAATGCAAGATTGGATTTATTAATGCTGCGGAAACAAGATAATTGTAAGAAAGAGGCTATACCTATGATGAATGAACTGTTGACACATTTTTAAAAAAATTGAAAGTTTTGGAAGTTAGATGTATAAGTAATAACTAATGTCGACTGACAGTTTCTGAAGTTTGCTAAGGAAATTGTAAAAAAGCTCTGGATATGTATATTTCGAGACGAAAAAATTAAGTGTATATATAACTAAGTAATTTAGAATGCGATATTAAATTCGAGCGTATTTGTGAGCGTCAGAATAAAATTATTTGTTGGTGATGAGGACAAAAACAAATTTGCTTAATTAAAAATATCCTTTTGTGGTGGTAAGAGTACATTTTATTATTTAAACTTAGCATTCAGTCGAAAGTTGATTCCAAAAATTTTATCTGCTATCTAAAAAATTAATGAAAGACACCAAAAAAGAAAAAGATTGAGTTGCAACTATTAACAATCATTAAATAATGCTATAAAATCTTATCTTTTCTGTTTTTAAACGTATCGTTTTTGGAGTTAACATATGATAATAATAACTGGTAAAAAAATGTGCAGGGAAGCAAAAAATTTGTTTTTGTATTACTTTTCTTACGCTCTCGGTTTCGTTGGTGGTTTGACAAGTATGTGATGTAAAATACATAATTAAAAAATACTTAAGTAAAATAATTGTTTTTTTATACAAGAGTATTTTAATCGACAATAGATGGTTAAACTTTTTCAAAATAAATAGAACTTGATGGGAGAATTCAAGAAATGTTTTCATTTTCAAAATAATTTATCGTGAATAATTTGTATAACGATTAGTCAATACAAGAAGAAAAAATTAAGTATCAAGACTGTTAGATATAAATTATGTAAAGTCTACCTGCTCAATATCTAGAAATTTCTTGTGTTTCTCTGACGTCTTTTATTTAAATATTCAATTATAATCTATATACCTTTCTCTGTCACTCATTCATCTTCACAACACTTTTTTTGACGGTTCTACTTTAGCTTTAATACTATGGTAGGTGTAGTTATTAACAAAAGATAACAAATGGAGAAATAGACATTGGTGCGATGATAAAACGTTGATAGCCACTAAAAGTATTTTGTACATCATTGAATCTCGAGAGAAAAAAGCTGCAAGGCCCTCAAGTCCAAATTTTAGAATTGAATACTAACGAAGCAAATTATTTGCATAGAACAATTATTTGTTAACGAAAAACTCGTTCAAATCCCGTGTATTATAATTTATCATTTGGTCATCTGTAAATATCTCATAAGAAAAATAGAAATAAATTTTAAATAAAATCGTGATAAACAATAATAGTTTTTTACTAAGTTTTTCTTATGTTTCAAAACACATTCCTTCAATTCATAAAAATAAATCAAAATTATAATAAATAAAAGCTAGTCAAGAGTTTTTAAACTTTTATCGTGAAAAAAATTCGTAAGAAAAACAAAATTTAATTATTTTCTTTTTATGAAGCAGCATGCATTTTTAGCAAACCAATTCGTTTTGAAAGAGGTATTAAAAAGGTATTGAATTAGCATGCTACTGCATTATTCATTAAAATTAAAAACTTATATAATTTTAAATATTGAAATAACTAGTATATATTCCATTTTAGACAGATTTTAAAAATTTTCCTTTCAACCTCGTGTTTTATAAAGGTACGTGTAAAATATATAACAATCAATAAAAAGTACATCATAAACAAAGAAACACTTGATATTTATTCTTATCATTTTTAATTATATCGTAAAAATGACACATTGATTCTAAATTTGACGAATGTTAGAAAATTTCAAAGATAGATATAAAAGTCGTTTAAAAGTAAGGTATTTTTTTTCATTACTTTGCAGCAGCTCTACACAGCTGAGATGTATTTTATAATTAAGTGTACTTAACTGAGAGTGAAACTTTGTGAGGTATAAAGTAATACTGGGAATATCTGAAATAATTGTTTCTAAAATACCACTTTTTGAGCTCTAATGAAACAAGGCATTTTTATTAGATAACGAAAAATTAATGTGGTATGACTGAATGAATTCTTTGTTGTGTGGTTACGCTCGCACAATTTTATGAATTAATCGTTTATTATTCGAAGTACTATATATTTTTCAAATGCTCCTGGGTGAAGTACTTTGTAAACGATTAAGTATTTAACTTTTATATATCTGTTTCTTGAAAATACATATGTATCTCTTTTGTATACGTCATATTCATGTAATTTTTCAAGCGGTACAGGATCGATGATAATTTTTTTAATGTAAATACTTAAAAATTAAAAGTCGTCTTGGAAAAAAATTCCATTTGCGGCACGATCAGGACTTTTCATCTACCCGAAAATGAGCCCCCTGTAGAAAAATTAATGCCGCAACTTTGCTAAACGTTTTTTAATGAGTATTTAGGCATATCCCTAAAGTTGCATCAATTTTCTAACTCTCAGAAAGTGGGAAAATAGCAATTTTCGTCGCTTATCAAACGCGTACGTATCTTATCTATAAATACTCACATAAGATTATAGATAAGGTGTATTTTTATCTAACGCTTATCTTATGTATGAACAACCATCTAACAGTATAGATAAGGTAAGGGTTAGATAAGTGACGAAAATGGTTATTTTTTCCCACCCTCTTATAGTTAGAAAATTGCTGCAACTTTGACTTTATGAGCTTGTCGGATCACGGATGTATAAATGTTTTTATGTTTAATTATATAATATTTTATGGTCGGTCGGCTTAATTCCTCAAGAAAGTATTCCTAAGTTTATATTCAATACGTTTACGGGGACCGTACCATGTAACTATTTTTCTGTACATTGGCCTATGTTATAACACTGGCCCCCGAAGTGAAAAAAAGTTATAAGTATGGTACGGCCACAGATACACACGCTACGGGCATCGGACTGACCGATCGACCGATGACCAAAAAAACGTCATGTGTCAGACGCGATCGGAGATCGGAGTGTCGGACGCGGCTATGTGGACGCGGCCTAAAAAAATATCATGCGCGCTTTACTGACGGTCGCCATAGACGTAAAAAATATAGACTACTCATTTTTATGTATGTATACTGAAGACTGAAGTATACGAGTAGAAAGAGACACAGCATCGTACGTGGATGACAGACAGACACGGTTCATGCTGTCATATGGTGTAATAAATACATAAGGTGGGCTATGCATGCTGTGTCTCATTCTACTCTGTCTATCCCGAAAAATATTTTTTTTTACTGATATCGTACATGGACGAGAATTATATATCTAATTTCCATGGAATTGATGTCCTTTCGACCACTAATACCGTTTTTGGCAGCTGATAACTGAAAGACACCTTAGCGATGGAGATATGTTATCGATTGCCCTGCATCTACACGATATCAGTACGAAAAATGTTTATTTGCATGACAGTCGTCCGGCCGGCATACTGATTGTAAGGACTTTGCTGTACCGATATATAACAGGCACCTTAGTATTGTTGACTGGATGTCTGGACCGCGGATTGACTGCAATTCCGCAATTCGCCAATTCACAACTCTCGCAACTCAATAGCAAGGTGTTAACTGCAAAGTGTTACTGCCGTGCTCAGTGCAGCTTGAATATAATATATACCTATACTTGACCAATAGGTATACGGTAGGTCCAGCAGTGAGGTAACCCCATATGGAGTACTGTAGTTTTTTCAGTACCATTCGGTAGTTTCAGTGCATTTATACTCGTCAAAACTTAAAAGAGATATATAGGTAGTCCTGCAACTTGATCCTCAGTGTAGTGCGCTTTAAATGTTGTGGACACATAATTTTACATTGTTCATAATATATTATGCACTTTTGTATACAAAGTGCACACTCTGCAAGTCTGCAGTCTGCTCACCAGAAATATAGTGGGTATAGTTATAGTCTCAAGAGAGTCGTAAAGTCGTTAAAACTCGTCTCGTCGGCGAAGAGTACAGTGGTGGTGGTGGTGCAGTCTCCAACACTCTATAGCTTTTCTTTCTCTCTCTCTTCATACGTGCAGCCTCTCTAGTCTCTACCTTCTCTTGTTCGCCGTAGACCGGCAGAACACTCCTGCACAGCCCCGGAAGTGCTTGGTTGATGAGGAGAAGGCATACCTAATACTTAACCTCGCACAATACTGCTAGGCTGCACCCTAAAGAAAAGAAGAAAAGGACTCCGAAGGGAGGGTCAGCAGCTGAGCTGCGTGGAGCGCTCGTGGCAATGTATCCGTAAATAGTATCAGCATCAGGGTAGAGGCGTAGACAAACGACTACATCTGCGTCCGACCACAACTTTCATCGTCGTCGTCGACTGGAGCAAAAGAGTTAGACAGGGTGGTCAGTGTTTGTATGTGTTTGTGCGCGCGCGCGCGTGTGTGTGCGCGCACGATTCTGTGTAAGAGAGTGTCGCACCGTGAGCCGTGAGTGGGAAAGGAAATGGCTTGCCTGAACACCCTCAAGCAAGAAATCAAAACCCTCGAATCCGTCTTTCCCAAGAGCCATGAGCGCTTCCAGATAATGTCGGCGAGCGTCGACGAGCTCAGCTGCAGGTTCGTCGGCAAGAATGGCAAGAAATACGAAATACATGCCAATATAACAGTGAGTAATAACCTGTGCAATTAATTATAAATTTTATTTGTTTGCCACATTCTTTCTGTAGGTATGTACAATCACATAATACACATACATGTACATAACCCATTCGTGAATTTATAGGTAATCGTGTTCATGTAGTCGAGGTACCTTTTTGTGTATATAATTAATATAATATTCACAAGTACAACAGAGCTTCAGGAAACTTGGTATGCACATGCAAAGCGGAGTACTCATGCGTTTATTCGTGCACATTTGTTTATGTTTATCATATGGATAGTCCGCGAGAAGAATGAAAAGAAGAAGCCTCGTAGATGACACTTTTGCAGGCCGAAGAGAGGAAGAGGAGAAGAAGCCGAGAGTCATAGCATCGGCTTTCGCTAAGCGGCCCCGTGTGGTAGCGTGGGAGAGTGAAGTGAGGGCGCGGGGGCGCAGAGCAAAGGACAGAAAGAGAGAGAGAGAGAAAGAGAAAGAAAAACTGAAAGCCATGCATGCTATGTGGGCCTTTGTTCAACGAAACCGGCGAAAGAGGACCGTCGATTATTCGCTGCCACTCTTTTTTTCTCCTGGTTGCTGATGGCTTGCAGCAGGAATCTTCTGGTGACCAAACATGTGGTCACAATACACATGATCCTGCAGCCAGCCCTCTTTTATCTCTTCCTACATTCTAGTTTTATAGTTCCGGATTGGTTTAACTTGTTCTCGTCGCCGTTGCTTCGTCTTGTCCGGATGTTTGGCTCAGGATGGTGTCATTTTCTTCCTCTCTTTCGTTTCGCCAGACAAAGAGTTGCGTGCTACTGTAGATCCTCGTTTATCTTATATTAGAAAATGCAGAATAACAGAGGGTGTGCTAACAAATAGATGAGTGTTAGGTTCGATGTCGCGGAAGTTGCGAGAACATACTTGCATGATGTAGATTTTCACGGAGTTCAAAATCGATGGGGGTGGCAAGTATACGAAAAGCTGTGGAGAGTAGAGCAAATGTAGGGGTGGATATCCTCCCTCTGTGCGAATGTGTATACGTCTGCGGGGGGGGGGGTGGCAGCAGAGGTCGATGCATACCGAGATTAGAGGGTAAGGCCCTTAGTTGGGTAGAGGCTCGAGGTGAATCCTGATATAATAATATTAAATTTTAGAGCTGGGGAGAAGGAGTTCATGGGTCTAGAAAAACTACGTCTTTGGGGGATGTAGTGTAATTAATTTGTTCATTGATTTTTGTATTACTCAATTTTTGGGATGTCAGCAAATATATGTTCGTTTATTTACATTCAGTGCAATAAGTGCATGCGCTGATAAACATTTTTTTACGCCCCCCCCCCTTTTTTAAAAATAAAAATTGCGTTTATCAAAGTATTAACAAATATTATATGCTCAATTAGCCATAAATCATCTTTCTAAAAAATCCATTAAAGAATCATTCCATTATGTCATTCAGAATGTTTGAAATTTTGTTCAAATAATATGTAATATAATCGTAGGTACCAGTCAACAAAACCAACACGTTGATTCTTCTTCTTGAGCACCTAAAAAGTTGGCCAAATGGAATTTTTTCATTAGTCCATTTCATTAATTAAATAGTTTCCAGTATGCAGAAATAAAAATTGATATTTGTTGAGTTAATGCAACAATTGAAACAAATTAAAGCTCATGAAAATAATGATTAGCTCTCGTTTTCAATTACTCAAATTTAGTTGATAGTCCAGTAATTGTAATTCACTGAATTAGTTTTTTTCTTTAAATGTATGCTGTTGTACTTAATATTTATACATATATAGAGGCACACACATTAACGTATCATAAATTCTAATTATTCACGAGATATTAGTATTGACTGCAACAAAATTTTGGATACATAATGTAACATTGTACACATGTGTGGTTTTTAAAACAATGCTTTGCTAGTCACAATCTATCTACCTATACTAAATTAGATCAACATATACTAAAGATTAGATGATAGGATTCAATCAATTCTTTAGGTAATCTTAGAAAAACACCTACTTTTTGATTTTAGGAAACTTATCCTTCAACACCACCAGTATGGTTTGCAGAGTCAGAAGAAACAAGTGTTACAAACGCAGTTCAAATATTAAGTAATACTACTGGTCTAGATAACCACGTAATAAATCAAGTAGGAATTCTTTTGAAAGAACTATGTCGCCTGCATTCCTTACCTGAACCACCAGATGTGGACCGCCTTAGAACAGCCTTTGATCCAGTACGATTAAATGCTTCGGCTAATGCTGTTGCTCAGAGAATGGAATCAGATGATGCTGATGATCTTGATGAAGATGATGAAAGTGAAGCTGAAGAAGATCTTCATCTAGAAATGGATGAAGGTGATGCAAGCGCTAAAAATAAGGTACAATTATTATTTCGTGATGCTTTTATTTCAAAGGTAAATAAAATTTAAAAAATAATGAAACTAATTTAATTGTAGAGTGATGAAATGGCTTTAGAACATCTTGCCACATTAGAAAGGTTGAGACAAAATCAAAGACAAGATTATTTGAAAGGTTCAGTCTCTGGAAGTGTACAGGCTACTGATAGACTTATGAAAGAACTTCGTGACATATATAGGAGTGATAGCTTTAAAAAAGGTAAAAATTTCAAATCAAGCTTTTTTTAAAAATAAATTTTCATTTTACAACTTCTATTTAACGAACTAATGATGTTACTCTATTTTCAGGAATATACAGCATAGAACTGGTTAATGATAGTCTGTATGAATGGAACGTTAGGCTAAAATGTGTGGATCCTGATTCTCCTCTACACAACGATTTAGTACTTTTAAAAGAAAAAGAAGGCAAAGACAGTATACTTTTGAACATGTTGTTCAAAGTAAGAGTAACAAATTGTATTGAACAATTTATGACCTGCTTTTGCAAAACTATACAAAAATTTATTTTATCTTTGCAGGAAACATACCCGTTTGAGCCACCTTTTGTGCGAGTAGTTTATCCCATGATATCTGGTGGTTACGTGTTAATTGGTGGAGCCATATGTATGGAATTATTAACTAAGCAGGGTTGGAGTTCGGCCTATACGGTAGAAGCAGTGATAATGCAGATTTCTGCGACTTTGGTCAAGGGAAAGGCCCGTATACAATTTCAACCAACTGGTGGTAGTAGCAAAGTCTGCACTGGACAAGGGCAATACAGTCTTGCTAGAGCGCAACAATCATTCAAGTCGCTTGTTCAGATTCATGAAAAGAATGGTAAGTTTGATTTTTTTTTTTTTTTAATCTTATCGTTGCCATTTCATCCACTGATTTTGTACTACTCTAATGTTATTAATGAACTTGCATTTTGTTTTACTTCCAAAAATTCTTTAAATACCTTGTATAGATAGTATTGTGTGGGTTTTTTTGTGTTTTTATTGTTTTCTTTCATTATTTACCAAAAATCATTCCCCATTGAGTTTGTCCATAATTCTGATGAAAAAAAGTATCAATTTATGTACTATTGTTTGTTATTTGTTTTGTCAGTGAATGAGAAAGAATAAAAAATTTTTTGCAGGATGGTTCACTCCTCCTAAAGAAGATGGTTAGATAAATGAGAGTGCAAGGGATCGACAATATTAACGCGTGCTTACATATAAGACTTTCATTCGGTAATGTGCCGAGTAAGTAATAGTTACGATAAATAATTTGATACACACAAACACAACATTAATTAGGTAACTTAAAACATAAGATTTGTATGTAAAATTCCTTGATTATGAAAGAGTTTTCGCGCAAAACAAGTGATGTATTGGATTTTGTTCATTCATGTTTACTCAGTTTTCCTGAGATAAATAATAGTACAGCGGCTAAGTAGAGTTCGTGCTAGAGGTCTCCGTTAGGTTAAAAGTTTTACGTTAATTAAAACTTTATTATTTGTTTTTTAGTTCTATTCTAATGTGCCCTGTCGTTATTCATTAATAGTGAAAGTAGTATTTGAACATTCAATTGATTTAATGAACATGTAAAAAGTATGAAAAAACAAAACATTATATATATGTATGCTAATGTGCTTCCTTTTTCACAAAAATATACAATTTTTTATTTTAATTGAATATTTTTATCTTTATTTTATTTCAAAATTTTAGCATGTAACTACTATATAAACCAAAACCTTGATGCCGTATTAAAACATTTTTGTAGCTAAAAGGCAAATAATTTTATTAAATTACTTTCAATACACCGTTACATCATGTCTCTTATTTTCGCAAATTTAAATATTACCGTGATGTATCAAAATTAATGATTCAATTTCAATTATATCTTTACACATGTATTCTTCTGATACAACTTTTGACATGGATAGATGTTATTGCTTTTTGTTGTTGCAAATGTATATTTGACAAAATATCACAAAGTAAACTCTTTAAGGTATTTTCAAAATTGCTAAAATTTTTATTTTAAATTAAGAGTTGAAAAAAAAAATTTTGAATTTTTTTTCATCACACGAAAATTCGTACATCAATACTTTCTTTGCAAGATTAAATGCTTTTCGGACAATTCACCCGTTTTAATGGTTATTAAAAATGAAGTTATAAAAATTGATTTTTAAAAAAATTCTTTTATATTGTTCATGACTACGTGAACCTTGTTGTACAGTTATTATCTGTTTTTTAAACAGATGATGTTATTTCTTTCAAAACAGCACAATTTTAGTATTACGCGATTCATTTGATCACCACAATTTTGCATCGACGTGATTAAAAAAAAAACATTAACGTCTAATGTACAGCATAGTGCAATATTATATTTATACATAGCCCTAACCATACCTAGTTTGTAGATAAAAAGTCCAACTTCTAATCTCCTCATTTGCACTTTTTCGGTCTGTTACAATTGAAAAATTTGAAAAAAAATTTTTTTTAAATAAAAATTGGCTTGTTACTGTGAATAATTACCGTAAAAATTAAAAAACGAATTCCAATGTCAATATAGATGTAGTCAGTAAGAGTTTATGTATGTGGATAGAGCCATCTTGCATCATTTATCTAATAAACCAAGCATGCCGGATCGTGAAAAAAGGTTTTATAGATTTTTTGTGCATTAAGTAATTTTACCTTTAATACACATTTTTCTATTGTAATAAATCACGATATCTTGGAAATATAAATTATAAGATTACTGTATTGTTGAATCCATAATATTTTATTATCCAACTCGTAAAAATCGAAAATAAAAGTTAATGTCTCATTTAATTTTATGAATTTTGCTTATTTATTATTTTGTAGAATCTTTTTTTTTTTTTTTTTTTTTTTTTGTGTAAATGTCGAAATTTTAGCTTTTTGTACTTGAAAATAATAATTACAATGTAAAAATCAGGTGTAAAAAAAAAGAATGATTGGATCGTCCTTTTTACGCACAGTATGAATGTGATGAAAAAAATCATTTGCAAAGGGCAAAGCATATCGAATCTCATAAATTTTTAGTAACTATCTCTGACTCAATACAATCATTATTTTTTGTACGAAAAATTTGTCAGTACATTGTACGTTCAAGTATAATGTCTTATAAAAGTAAAAAAAAATTGATTAAAAAAAAAAAAAAAAAAAAAAGTTACGGACTAATGACAAGGGTGGACTCTAAATAACTTTCGAGCAGGATTCTGCTTTGAATTTTTTAAATATTTAAAATAATCAGAGAAGGAAGTTTATGCATACATTTTTGCTGATTAGTACTTATTACAAACAAATGTTTTTATGAAAAATATCATAGCTCCAACAAAACTGGTTTTTTTTCGTAAGAATATAAACGACGTATGTTATATTCGTTTTAGTCTAAAAAATATGTGTAAAATGTAATTATGGTAACGTATCACATATTTATTCTAGTAAATAAAACTAAGCGCGTTTTGTATCAGAATTGCGTACTTTCAAAGAATTTCCTCCAGTTTTACGAATGTCAAGAAGATGAGGAAATTTAAGTGTTATAGTATACTTGAATGAATGTAGGTATACGTAAATGAATTGTGGATTAAATACTTTTTTTTCTTCATTCATCAGTTAAAACTATTTCTTAAAAAATAAAACAAACAAAAACATTTCTCAAGAACATTTTCTTACTGAGCGCCGACAATTCATATTTCTAAAACTACGATAGCACAAATAAGGAAAAAGTTTGCCAAAAATAAGTGGCCACTCTTGTCGCAACCGTCCTCGAAAAAAAAAGTAGAGAGCAGTTACACACCTTGACAAAGACCTCAAATTGAAATATTTATTACAAAACGTTTCTGTATTTTTCTTCGATTCTTTGTACCCGCGTCTGTGTGTACGCGTAATCGTAACGATGCGAAGACTGAAAAAAAAAAAAAAAAAAAAAAAACTACATAGTGCAAGCCAGATGACTAAAGAAAAAGATGGTAGAAAACAATTTTTTTTTTTTCTTTCCACGATAAGTTGTTGGCGGTTGTTTGTGAATGAACAAATAATACTTACGAATCGAAACTCATTTCTACGCAACATCGTCACGTGCAAAAGATAAAAAGTGTTTTTATCGATATGATGAGCAATGTAAAGTAAACAAGAGTCAGATGGAGACAACGAGACAAAAAATTCAAGAACTCGATGGAATGAAAAAAAACAACGAAAGTTGCACGCGGACACTTGTAGCACGGCGTGTCTCTTATCCCTTCTCTCCGTCGCATCGCTCTGATAACGAGCCATGAGTTTGAATGTTATTGTAGGCTCGTTCCACTAAACAATGTAGCATCGAGGGGATGAAAAAAATACATGACAAGTGTTGCCTTTAAGGAGTAACAGCGCTTTATTCCTCGATCGTTATACTTTTATACGTATGCATACGCTTACCGTGTACTTATTTTCATCCTTTCTGCGCTAAAACAGTTCCACGTGAACAAGTATGCAAATTTGGGTTCCGAGCAACGCCAAATATCCGTGCAAAAAAAAACAAAAATGATGATTATTTAAAGCTTTGAGGGGAGGCTTTTCGACAGTGGCGTCGATAGCCTGTGTAAAATTCCATAAGTGGCAAAAATTTTTAACCACGAGATGATAGGTTGTTGAACAATCGTTGTTCAAAACCCAAGACATAGTGTGAGTGCGTATACTCATGTAATACGAGTACGAGCAGTCTAATTGATGTGATTGTAAATTTTCTTTATTTGTAAGGACGAAGCGAGGGCGAAAAAGTTGGCGAGAAAAATGCGATTGACACTACAATGTGTACTCTTGTCTTGAACAAAAACGCACACAAACACTTGCATAAAACACACATACACACACATTATTATTATTATTAATATTATTATCATCGGCGTCTACTATTGTTCTTTTGTATGCTTTTTTCGATAATCTATAACTGCTGCAGATGTGGAAAAAAAGGGTCACCATACAAAGGGGTGACGAAACAGAAGTTAAAGAGCGGCCTCGCGCCAAAGTGCGAATCTATGGGAGTTGTATAATATATGGATAATTTGTATAAAGCGTCGATGAAGAACGATTTTGCGCGATGCCGCCCGTTCTGTTTCTCGCCTTGAAAGAAAAAAATTTGTATACAAATACATGTTACATACTCTCATACACTACATTGTGAACCCGAACGTCTCATCAACGACACTGTAGAAACACCATTATTATTAATATTATAATTATTACTATGATTACTTATATGATAAATATTATTGTGAAATAATAACATCAATGCACAAGCGGGCATATCGTTTTATTCTTTTTGTCTCATTTTGCCCTGTTGTGGACATCAATGATCGGTAATAAAAAGAAAAAAAAAAAATATCAATTACATTTGTTGAAAAAAAAGCCGCGTCTACTCCATTGTAAAAGTAGATCTGTAGTCCTTGTATTGTATTAAAAGTGTTAAATGTAATGATATCGCATTAACATTTGATACTCTAAATTTAATAAACTTCAGAAAATTGACTTGTGATTTTGATAAATCGCTAATAAGTAATTTAAATTATTTTTATCGGTAACGTTATGATTTATTAAATAATTCGTTTATATTTTTTTGTAGTAATTTTCAAGCTATACCTACGGTATAAAAGTATGTTCATAACCGTTGAGAATATATTATATAAATATTTTTTAATAAATTTAAATTAAGATGGGATTTTTTAAATGTTCCGTTATTAGTCTTATTTAATTTTTCAGTGGCTTGAAAGCTTTCAAAGCTGAAATCAGCTCCGCTGCTCATTAGCTACATTCACGTTTGGAAATATGTTTTTTTTTTTTACGCGCATCTAATATTAATGGTAGATAAAAGGAAGATAAGAGGATGATTGAAGTAAGTAGAAAATAATGAAAACAAATAAAACAAGTGCGCAATACGTGCTTACTCGCGTGCTTAGTAGAGAAAAACCTTTTTTTTTTATCATTCCACCACCTGACGTATAAATATAAAGGTGTATACGTTTCTTTTACTAAAACAGCCTTTATCGCAGGACCATAACTTAAATTACTATAATTCTTTTTCGTGCGATAAATACAAGCCTTTTATTGTTGTGTTGGCAAAAATTTTTCATTCGCTTAATATTACATGTTTTCTTATTTTAATTTTGATCTTTCAAGTTTCTTGATGCGTTTTTAAAAATTTCCCGTAACCTGGTCGAATTCGGTAAAAAAAATTAATGAACAATCGAAAATCCTTAGCCTTTATTTTCGTTGTTGAATATTTTTCATGCTGGTTCTACGAATTTTGTTCCATTAAAAATTCCTTTACACGCCAACAGAGTTATTGGTCAATCTAATAAGTGTTGTGGATTTCCCTTTGACAAAAAACGATAAATATATTGGTCAATCAGTCATACTCAAGAGTCTTTTTTTTGCCCCTCCTCTTTGGCCATCTAAATTTTTTTTTCTTTTCTTATCGATAACACGTACATTGAGCACGAAACAACGCGCCCAAAAGAGATTCCACGTGATTCCTTGGCTCCTTGCTCCTCCGAACCATTTGGCGGGGCATATATACGCTCGCGAGAGAATGATTGATGATGGATCCACGCCACCCAAGTTTCTGGGGTCGTGAAAGTATACCTCAAGACTCCAATAAAAGTCTGATGGTGATGAAACTTTTTATATTATACTCTGTTTACGTATATTACGCTCTTACGTGTATACACGATGTATCGGTGTCACATTAAAATGGTACGCTACGGAAGCGAAGCCGCGCGGTCAATCATAAAAAAAGGAGGATGAACATTCATTTGTCGTTTTTGAGAATTTTTAATCGAGAAAGGCTGGACTTGGTGTTCTTATCGAAGGCACGTATATATGCGAGAATAGACCAAGGTTCATGTGTTTCGTCACAAAACTGGGCCCAAATTCTTTTCTTTCTTCTTTCGCACTCTGTTTTTGACAATGGCCACGCGTTGTAATTGACCGCAAACTTCGCTCTTTCTGCAGCAGTCGAAGCCTCCGCTGGAAACAAGTCCGCGAATCTGCTCCGATGCGAGGAATTTTCAACAAACCCCTCGTATGGTACACAAAACGTACCAAGTATGAGTACTTGTACACCTATATGCCACCGTAACGCACATATATGCCTCGCAGTTCGAGTTTCAAACGCGTAAGCATACAGTACAATTGTATGTCACAACAGCGCGAGCTTCGTCGCGCACATAAACGCGCCAATTGAGACGCAACGCGCGGATTCGTTGCACCGCCGTTGATGCTACAAGGGAATGGATTAATTTTACTCCCGCAAAGCGCTTAATATACCCGAGTGGACTTTGCCTCGACTCTCCGCGCTTATTGCTAACGATCCCCGGGTAACAGCGCGCAATTTGTAAGATATATAGACCTATAATTATATGCCTATCAGGTTCGTATACGCAATCGGATCTCACGTGTAGGTATGTCCATCGGGTGCCGCAGTTTTGCAAAGATCAAAGGATACAAATCCACAGATAAATAGAAACCAGTCGAGTTGTTGCGGTTTGGAAGGTCAATAGGAGGAGAAAAAAAAAAACTCAAGAATATTTATTTTCCACAGGAATTCGAGCGGTGGAGGTATATATGATTGCTCAAAAAACAAGTGGAAACTCGATATTGTCATACGGTTGGACAAAAGGCGTTTACAAGGATCGTTTGCGTAACGATGAATATGAGTACCCAAAGCGTAAAATCGGATAAAGGACTGAGCAAGGGATGACTCCTTTTTTTCCCTTCTAAAGACCTACATCCCGGACGGAGTGGCTGTTATTGAGAAACATCGTCCAAGTATGGACAGTT